ATTTGTGAATAGCAATACCAATAGGGTTAGTGCGCCAGGAGGAAAACGGTGAAGAGGTGAAAGGACCGATCATGAAACCGTTTGTGGTTTCTGCGGAAATGAGAGTGTCTACAGCGACTGGGTCTAAACGTGCAGACTGGAGATTAGGACATTCTAGTGTACCTGGGGGAATGGCTATTATGCCTGTGTGAAACCCTTGTGAAAAACCTGTGGTGAGAAAATCCACTAAGTGCCTGCTGGGGTGACACCTTAGATAAAAAACCAGGTTGTCGATATTTATGTCGGTTAGTCATTTGTTTGGTGACAACCTGGCTGGACACATGGTCTTGGTATGTGCCCTGAAACATATGGAGCAGATGTGCAATAGTCTACAGGCGCTGAAACTGCAGGAGCCTGCGTTGAAATTATTGCACACCTGTGCTTTACCTAAAAAGGAGATGGGCCTACCCAGCTTATCCCGGAGACCACCCGCTGGCTTGTGAGGGGTGAAAGAGGAGTGAGGTGTGAACGTGGGGTGAGGGGTGAGAGTGGAGGTGGTGGGATCTGGTTCGACGGGACATAAGTCCGCCATGTGGGATGTGGAATTACAGATGGCACAAGCCTGAGTCCAGCGAAGTGGCGACAGAAAAGTTCAGTGTCCATCTGACCCCAGTTCATTCTAATGTTGAACTGCTTGAGATGGGTCGCCGCCTTCGCTGAGACTGACTTGTGGTAGTCATAGAAGGAAGAGCCCCCGTACTTGATGCCTAGATCCACTACCTTGTGGAGATAGAGATCTAGCTCTTCTCTCCTATGGGGATACACCGTGCAAATGACGTCGCGGTATATCCCGAAAGCTATCACAAACTGTGGGATAGACAATTTTTTATTAAGCCTGGGATCCCTCGTTTTAAGCACAACAGAGATGTCACCATAATTGTATGCCTTGTTCTCGAGTACATCCTGAGAGGCTATGAGTAAAGACACCAGACACACATCCTTCCCGTCAAGGATATCTTTCCTGATAGAATCTGGGACGGAGTGTGCTGGTGACTCGAAAGGTGTGATGGCTGTGCCAGGTGCTGGAGGGGGGAGTATAGAGGGACATGAAGGTATGGCAGGTACAGCCGTGGTAGAGACTGGGACTACGGTGTTAGTACCTGAGGAGGAGATGGCGCTTTCCACCTTAGACAGCCTGCTATTGAGGGCCTGTAGATTGGCCAAGATATCTGCCAGGGTATCCTGGGTGGCCGTGCTGGTACTTGGTGGTTGTCCTTGAGAGCTAGTTCCCGGCCGAGGCTCGGGGACTTGGTGGGTAAGCAGCCTGTAAAGTTCTGCCTTTCTAGCTGTGGCCGGAAAGGGGATTCCCCTGAGCCTAAGCTCGGCTGTGATTTGGGGAATAGTCCATGCTCTCAAGGACGTGGGGGTTGAAAGAGTGAGTGATTCGCCTGGAGACACGGGTCTGATTGGCGTGAATGGTGCTTCTTCTGTCAGTTCTTCGGTTGGAATTGGTTCTTGGGACATTCTAAAAGGAATGATTATGTGAAAGATATATTAGAAGGGGAGTGAGGTAAGAAGGGGGGGTATGGGGAGTGGTGTGTCTTGAAGAACTGGACTTTAATGCTAGATGCCGAGGCGAAAAACTTAACTATTGAATGACTGGATAGGTGAGGCCCTGCTAATGCCAAGTGGCGATGAGAGGCTCTACCTATGATTTGGCTTATGACGTAGGTGCCACAGACGTGGTGGCGGGATGTTGGCCTCTCGGTGACGATAAGAGAAATCAAAACGTGTGGCCGTGACAGGTGAGGCCCTAACTAGAGCCCTATAGTAAGGCATGCGAGGCTTATAACTATGATTTGGGCGTGGGGCCGTACCTCCGTGTTGAGGTGGGGTGGGGGTGGTAGGCCTCGCGGGATCAGATTTCCTGATAAGGTGGGCTAAGGCATTAGCCTGTGCCGTATAGCCAGTTCGATAGTATGCTAAAGGGGTAAAGTTAGAGGACTGGAATGGTGTGTGGATACTAACCTTGACTGGTCGCAAATGGTATCTGGAGCCTCCTGGTAAGTGTAGAGAGTCTTGTCTTAATGTTGTCTTTGAGGAAGAATCCTGGGGGTTTAAGACAGATGTTGATGTGTTTATACGTATCGTGATGTCGTATGAATAGTATAGGGAGAAGGTTTGTTAGGGGCACGACGTGAGATCCTGCATTGAGGGATCTGGGAGGTTTAGGTGTAGGAATGGGATGATTTTGGATATGATTGAGAAGGCAGAATGAGGCCTTGGGGTAGCGAATGGACGTAATTGAGTAAGGATGTAAGTACCTGAAGGTATGGCTGTGTACCGTGTCAGGATTTGGTGTCTTCTTGAGCCTGGTGGCCGTATGACCGAAAGTCTGTGTAGACAAGTAGTAAAGAGATAACGTATCCTGGGCGTAAGCCTGAGGGAAGGTAGTAATGGAGTTGAGACCGCGTGAGGTCTAGTATTGAAAAGAGAGTGAACTATACCTTTTATTAAAGTACAGAGATTGTTTTAATCGTGGCAGGTTAACTGCGTGGAAACGGTGGAATCTTAGATTAATACAGGATCTAAGGGTTTAACCGAGAGAAATTCCATAGTTAGCAATAGATGTGAAGATAATTGATAAAACCTGATAACTCAAGGTGATAATAAACCATACCTGTTCCTGTAATAAAAGGACCTTGGAATAACAACTTTAATGCAGAAAAGCAAGAGACCGATGCAATCTGTAAAAGCCAAAAAATGTGACAGCGTGATTTATGTGCAAGGAATAGTACGGATTATGTGTAAAGGGTATAACTTGTAAATAGTGTTTAAAAAGACTTATCTGAGTGTTATTAGGAAAGATTGGTATAGCTTGAATTTAGACATGTATGAAGTTATGAGCCGTGATGAACATTATGTATATTACAGAAAAATACTTTAAATGGTTTAACAAGGTAGGAAAACACAGGGCTGGTAGTTAACCATATAATGTAACCGCAAACTGATATGAAGGAATAAATAATAGTAGGACTGTGATTAGAACTTATGCAATCTTAGCTTAAAAGAATAGAAATAACCGAATGTAAATTAGTAAGATGGTGTTCGTGAATTTAACCATACGAGTAGGTTGGTGCTGAAATAACCGAACGGAAAAGTGAATGCAGATAATAATGAGCTTAAACATGAATATTTATTCGGTTGTTTCCATACGAAAATGCATTAAATGATAGCGAAATGAGCCGAACGTTCGTGCGTTTTTTGGCGCGAATGGAGATATTAACGAACAGCGTGTATTCGTGAAAATGCGAAAGGGAGGGAGCCTACCCCTACGTTTTTAGGCCCGAACGGCGGGGAAAAAGCGAACGCTAATTCCCCCGCCTTGCTTACGTGAACGCGCCGGTCTTGTGACCGGAAGTCGGGTACCTCGACCGGAGAGAAACGGAGTGGAAGGGGCCTCGGACGGACGGAGGATTTGCACAGGGCGTCTGGCTGCTGGAAACAGGTACAGTTTCTGGCGGGAAGCTGGACCGGAAGTGCTGGACAATCAGCTGAGCGGCAGCGGTGAGTAGGGGCTGGGAGCTTAAGTAGGGGACTTACTCCTCCCACAAATTCAGGCCTAATGGCCTTTCTACATATATATATGAAGCAATCATGTATATTCTTCTATAATACGGAGTAATTATATCCCTCTACTGGTTTATGTATTACCTTAATAAACCCAATTCATTCAATTTTGTGTTGTAGCAATGCAGACATGTAATTCATTGTGGAAAATATTAATTTATTTTATATTTCACAGACAAAACAGTCCAACTCTTGGATAAATGTAATGTCTTTACACCAAGCTTGAAATATTCATATTTAGAATGATGAATACTGTAAGTCAGACGAAGTGCACACAGGGGATATTTTAGACTGAGTGATTCTCAATATTTTTAAATAGGGCAACTTGTTATATTTTAATCTTTGACAGATGACAAAAAATGTTTGAAGCGCGTGTCCCCCTGCTTACAATAGTAGTCCCCTATTGATCAGTCAGATAGCCAAGTTCTTGTTCACAGTGTAAGATTAGGCAACGCATATTTAATAAAATATAGTCTTGCACATGCACATGCATAAGGTTGAACCTTAAAGGGACACTATAGTCACAAGAACAACTACAGCTTAATGTAGTTGTTCTGGTGAGTATAATAGCTCCTTTTAGGCATTTTCATGTAATTATTGCCTTTTCAGAGAAGAGGCTGTATTTACATTACCCCTAGGGACACCTCCAAGTGGTCACTCTTTAGATGGCCACCGAGGGGCTTCCTGACTCAGGGCTGCACAGTAAGCAGCCCTGCCATTCAGCATCCCCACAATCTGCATGGAGACGCTCAATTTTCCTCATAGAGATTTTAGCCAATCCAATGCTTTCCCCATTTTAGCCAATCCAATGCTTTCCCCATGGTAAAGCATTGAATTGGCTAAAAATCACCCATTTTGATGATGTCACAAAGGGGGCAGAGCCAGCGCCAGTGGACCCGCGCGGCGCTGGAAATAAAGTGAGTTTTAAACTTTTATGGGGGGGGGCTAAGGGAGAGCAAGCCACTTAAATGGTGGGGTTAGCACTATAGGGTCAGGAATACATTGTGTGTTCCTGACCCTATAGTGATCCTTTAAAGCCTTCTTTGCATCTGAGATAAGCATACTAAAGAAAGAACTTAGAACACTATCTGGCCGCATTCAAGCTACAAAAGATGACATTAAAGGCCTAGGACTTAAACAAGACAAATCTGCAACCCAAATCCAAGACTTAACCGAACAGTGCACATTACTGAGTGACAAAGTGGGGCAGCTTGAAGAGAGCGCAAGACAACGTAATCTCAAGGTGAGGAGGATCCCAGATACCATAGATGCTGGTGAACTGCCACAAATTATCAGGTGTTTGCTCTCTGCCATGCTGTCACATAAGCAGGCTAAAGGCCTAACCTTGGAAGCTCACCCGGACGACCTTCCACCAAATCACCCTTCCCTAGGGATGTCATACTTTGCTTTCGATCACGGGCCAATGAAGCACTTATGGCCGCACGCAATATATGTTTAAACAACACTCACTATGTTTTTACCACGACCAAAAGAAGGGGTTTCTTGCAAGAAGTGACCCCTCAGTTGAGAGCCACAGCTGTCCCATACAAGTTGGGGAACCTACAAGCCCTTATTGTGGTGAAACAGGGCAGGAGAAACAGACTGACCTCAATGGCGAATGCAAATACATTCCTGCAATCACTGGGACTCACAATACCAGACACAGACAGGTCAACCAACAGACCTACACACCGTTGGAATGTGGACAACATAGCGATCTTCACACCAAACAGTTCCACCGCTCCAGGCTGAGCGAACGATGATGGGAATGCAACAGGAATAGCACACCTACACCCATGTTAATGTTGATGTTTTATGTTTATCTTTGCCATTGTTTCTGCTTACATTTAATTTTATTCTTTGACAACCATGGATAGCATATGCTATACTTATGAAGGAACTTCATTGAATGCTGTAGTGAGATACAAATTCTGTGTCTATGTTCTAGTCCACCTATAGCCCAATTATACAATCAGTGAGGAACTGTCTGTAGTCAGGTACACCCATGTTTATATATAGCGCCTCACATTACCTCCCCCTCCTCCCACCCCCTTGTGTTCTGGGGTCAAGGAGCTTATTACTATTACTCATATACACATATCATCATGCCTAAGGCATGCTCATAAACATATCTCACTCTTAGCAGGTCCTTAGTGGATCTAGACAGCGGACTCTTCGAGCTCATACTAATACACAGGCTCATCTACAGTTTACTGTAATGTTACCTTCCGGAGATGGAAAACAGTCTCTTACTAAACCTGTAGGACCTTAGCAGGTATCCCTCCAATGGAGGAGACCCACTTGCAATTGAAGTTTTAACAGTCACGTGCTAAGGGCCTGGTTACCAGAGCATGTTTTCACTTGTCTTATTATTTACAAAAAAAGAGGCTGAGTTTCGTAAGGGTTTAAACCTATGTACTTATGGCGACTTATACACTTGTAAAACTACCATAACTCTTTGTTTTCTATTGTATTTTGTATCTTATGCAATTGCCTCAATAAATAAAATAAAAAAAAGAATATTAAAATAAAAATAAAAAAATATACGCACACTATATTGCATTGAGTAGATAGATAGATACCGAATTAATGTAATCTATTATAAAATGAATAGAATGGAAAATCAAAACAAAACGCAGTAAATGTATTTTATACCCAAGTTAAAAACAAATGAGTGACATGGTTCTCCAGCGAGTGTCTGTTTTAGACACTCAAAATTTCCCATGCCACTGTATGTTTGTGGGCTACAACATCCCTGTGTTCCCTCTTAGAGTAATGTCTTATCTCACTGCTGGATCAAAAAAATAAATAAATAAAAGACAACGCTCATGCACACACACACACAAATTTGTGACATCGCTTGTGATGTAACAGCACCTGTGGAATGCAAAAAAAATAATTTCACCACTTCCTTTTGAAACTAGTGTCCATTTATTATCTTGCTGTTGTACACTTTGGGTACTTGAATAAAAGGGACACTACTTTCTAAAGGAAGTGTTGGAATTTATTTTTATACTTTCCTGAAAATATACTGGTTTGGGTGGAACCGGAGTCCTTGTACCCTTGTGTTGTTGGTTGGTGCTGTTCTTATATCTAATTTTGTAGTTATAACAACACTTGTACAATCAGAAGCTGCAGAACATAGTATCCTACAGAGGTTCCTCTAGTCTGAAAAATAGGTGTTCTACACCGTTTTGGGATTCTTACTCAAAACATGGAAATATTTGGTTCAACGAGGTCGCTGGCTGATAGTAGAGTGATTTAAGTTAAATGTGGGAGGCGATCTGCCAGGAGATGCAGTAAGGCACATGTCAAAGGGAAATCATGAAAAATGCATCAGTGAAAAAATCCGTCTTCATCCTCTTAGTATATTAAAGGAACACGTTCCAAGCAAGGAGCAAAAGGTTGAACCTCATGACAATGTGAAAATAACAGTGTGATATCTGGGATTGCCCTATTAATGCAATATGCCTCTAGGGCTTGTAATGTACTAATTCTATCTTATCATGGCTTGCCTTCTAGCACACCCTTAACCTCCATTAGAATGGTGTAAAAAAAGTGTGTTAAAAAGATTCCCTCCCTTTCTCGAATATATATGCCGCTTTAACCCATGTATCACAACTCAACTTTGAATTCTTTGTGTCGTCTTTGCTCAGAAATGCTAAAGACTTGAGAAAGGGAGGTTCTCCTAAAAGTTTGTCGTTACAAAATTCTGTTAGTCCAATAAAAAAGGTATTACAAGATACAAATTTTATTGTTTTTTTTAATTATTTTTTTACATATTAGAGAAAGAGATAGGGAGAATTTTTTAAACATGTTTTTAAACCCTTCTTATCGAGCTGAAGAGTGTAATATATTGGAATATATTTTAAGATTATATATGTTGTCCAAGATATATCAGTTATAATAAAATAGACTGAGTATGATTCTTTAAACTATTTTTAAATAAAAATAGTCAAGTCCTACCACACTCTTTGAGAACATCAGCTCTGGTCCATTAAATCATTCCTACCTGCTGTAAGTGTAGGACCATACCAAACTAACATGCCTCCACCTACCAACCGACATTGGTAGAACATTTCCACCCCCGTTAAATCCACTGTTAGTGTAGAACAGCATCAAACCAGCATGACTCCATCAACAATCAACATACAATCCTACCCTGTGCATCACCTCTAATCCTCCACCTCCATTTGCACTGATCCCGATGATCCTTCTCCGAGAACAGGCAGACGTGTAATCCGTCTTTGTGCTCAAGATCTGGCATAAATCCACTCTGGTTTTTCCTTCTACAAAGTAAATAAATCATTATTAGAACCTGTGGAGGAATTTACATTGAAGAACACCCATGAGGTCCATTCATATTTACTATTAAGGAACTGCCCAATATAGAATATGGATAATCGACATTTTATTTATGAATAACTTCACTTCAACGTTTGCACTGCCCAGGAATGATCTAAATAATTGTACAAAATAATATTTTTTAAATAAATCATTTAATCGAAACACAAACACATTTTTTGTACCATGTTACTGTAAAATAAGTATACAGTGTGTGTATAAATTCACTTGGTAGGGTGTGCTTGAAATACAAATGTTTAGATTGTAAATATTAAAGGCCATCTATATTCAGGAGATTATATGGACTCAATCAATACAAAGCACAAAAGTGCAGCACTGAAAAATGATACGAATAAAACTTAATGATGGAAAATTCACAACCTTTATATCAATCTGTTCTAAATAATCGATCTTATTTATGGAAAAGTTCCCTAGATAAGTTAGGAGTTCTTGTGCATGTGCTGTAATATGTATTATATTTAAAAATAACAATTCATCACTATACAAGGATGCAAAAATAAATGATTAAATAAAAATCCATAATAATAATGCAGAATAATCTTTTCTCTTTCATGCTAACTGCTTTCTGTGATTGTTTTCATTCTTTGCACTTCCCCTCTAATGATTTGACTATTACATTAACCCCTTAGTGACCAGACCGTTTTTCAATTTTCTTACCGTTAAGGACAACCCTGTTTTTACATTTCTGTGGTGTTTGTGTTTAGCTGTAATTTTCCTCTTACTCATTTACCGTACCCACCCATATTATATACAGTTTTTCTCACCATTAAATGGTCTTTCTAAAGATACTATTATTGTCATCATATCATATAATCTACTATGAAAAATATTATAGAATATAAAAAATAAAAAAAATCTGTTACGCATCTACAATCGCCAAAAAACACCCATGCTAAATAGTTTCTAAATTTTGTGCTGAGTTTAGAAATACCCAATGTTAACATGTTCTTAGCTTGTGTTTGCAAGTCATAGGGCTATAAGTACAAGTAGGACATCGCTGTTTCAAAATATATATATTTTAAAATTTATAAATAGTGACAGTGTAACACTTATCTGTCATAAATCTCTGAATCACACCTCACATGTACATATTTTTTTTTTAAAGTAGACAACCCAGTGTATTCAATATTGAGTATGTCCAGTCTGTGTTAGTAGCCACTTGGTCACAAACACTGACCAAAGTTAACATTCATATTTGTTTGTGTGTTAAAAATGCAAAAAACTATTATGAACGCTAACTTACTAGTGTTTGTGACTATGTGGCTAATAAAAAAAAAAAATGAATATACCCCATTTGCAATACCTTGGGTTGTCTTCTTTTGCAAATGGTATGCCATAATGGGGGTAATTCTCACTGCTGGGCTGACAAATTTCAATGTGAAAAAATGGAAAATCAAGCCTTATATTTGACCCTCAATACAGTGTTAATTTCAAAGTTGCACTCACAAACATGTATAGATTGTAGGCATATCAGGTTTCTAGAGATGATAAAGAATACTCAAACACGATAGTGGGCATGTAGGAGAAAGTAAAAAAAATCTAAAACAATTAGTTGTTAAAAGCCGTATATTGCGCTTTGATTAGTAACACTTACAGAATGGTAGTAGTGTTTAAGCATATCACAATTCCAAGCGGTATCTCCAACAGTTACGGTCCACAGGTCTCCATGTGTATTAAGGATAACGCCTCTTATGGTGTGGATTGTAACGGTTATACACATATACACATGGATATAATGTATGTATGTGTATATATATATATATATATATATATATATATATATTAAAGTAGTATGGCTGCACTCACGGATTTCCAATAAAATTTTACTTACTTTTATTCCAGTACCTTAAAATATATCAATGTTTCAGTCCACCTTGGGGACTTTCATCAGGATGTTATCCTGTCAGACAGTCCCCCCAGACAGACAGGAAGACCGATCGCCGGTTGTCCAAGGTCCTGGGGGGATATTTGTTATTTATATTTTTTTATTTATTTATTTTGTAATTTTATTTTTTACAATTTTAGTTTTACTGAGTGCCTCAACCCCTCGATGCACAGGCAGAGCATCGGAAGCTTGCCCAATGGCTTCCGATGCTCTCCCTCAGTCAGGGGAGGTATCGCTGCATTACTGTTAGAGCGGGTGGAAGCGATCACGATCAGTTCCAGCGCTCAAATTTGCCACGTACGTCCAAGGTCGTTAACGACCATTTTTTGTCGGACGTACCTGGTACGTCCATGGTAACTAAGGGGTTAAAAGATTACTTCAAACAACAGAAGATTTTAAGTGTTTATGGTGTCTGGAGTCAGTATAGGCAGCATTTCACTTTAAAAAAACACTGCACATGCAGAGATTAACCCCTTGGTTTCCAGAGGTATAACTCCACCTG